CTTTTTATAATTCTGTGAAGAGCTAAATGCATCAATAAAATAATTTGTCTCCTGCAATCCTTTGATGACTGAATTAGCTAAATGAGATTGAAATAAGGAGTGATTTATAACAGGCTGTAATGAGAAATGAGTTCAACTGCCTTCCAAACAATTGACAGGGAATAGATTAGTTTTAGCAATGTAGTGATTTAAAAGACTGGAGAAGGAAAAGCATTCCCCTTTGATCTCAGTGAGAGCAAAGTTTCTTTAGACATGATCTGATCCCAACAAAACGCAGCACAAGGTTCATATAATGATGCTTTTTTTTACCCCCTTCACAAAACAAGAGCTAGTCCAAACTAACTTACTGAGGTTTCTATTAGAAGTCTCATTTCCCATTGCTACACAGTCTGTGAAATAGAAAACTTCCCTAGATTTCCAGAGAATAATGATAAACTATTGTGAATTTGAGTCTATAATACAGGAATAAAAAGTACACCTTAACTTTCATGGGAATAGCTGTAGATCAGAGCTATTCTCCATGAACTCTATAAAAGATGAATGTTTGTATTCAGATGGCATGTTAACTTATGGCCTTAATGTTGGGTGTTTATTCTGTACCCCAATCCAGCAGAGCTGGAAGCACACACCCAGCTTTCTCATTGTGTATCATCTCATTTAAGTTAAACTACACTCCGCAATAAGGCCAACCAAATAGCCACCTGAGCATATTTGGGAAGGGAGGTGATGGGCACAGGTACTCAAAAGAAAGTCCTTCATTTCACCTCCTGAAATGGGAGCCCTGCGGACACTCCTGCCTACGTTGGATTAAGTACCTGCAGAACTATGATTCTATGAACTGGCAGCTTAACTTGCCCCTCCATGGCCTTGCCCTGCTTCCATGACACCTAGCTCTCTCTGCCTGTGAAATGGATGTAGATTGTTAGCCTCCAGGTTTGACAAGGTTTGATGAGTGCAGATTGTGGGTGCAAGCAGATTTGGGAAAAGGAAAATCAGAGCGGTGACTTACCTGGATCAGGGCAGCCTGCTGTGAACCTAATGTGACTGTTCACATAACCCAGGTAAGCAGCAGACTTCAGACCTGTACCATGAAGAAAACTCTTTTTATTACTAGTGGTTCACTTACATCTCACACAAAAAACTTCAGAATGACTGTCCACTAACGGCAAATCATCTGCCCTGTCTATGGTCCTGAGTTGCTTTTTTCTCCCCTCACCTGCTGGCACCGCTGCGGCATGGGATGAGTCAGGGATGCTCTCACAGCAGTACACAGGATAGTAACTCACACAAGCCTCAACACTGTTTACAGGATCTCTGACTCTCATTCCTCCCATGACGGCTGACAGAAAGACCCTTCTCACACCAGTGAGAAGGGAGCATTGATCTGACACCACTTGTTGACAGGCTGCAAAAATACTGATAGTGCATTTAGCAACAGTGCACCAGATCTTGGCAAATGAGAGTTCAGGCTCTCTGGTTATGTTCTCCCATTACATTTTCTCACATTATATTACCTCATTGTGCTATGTATATTTAATTGGCTGTTTGGGTTTGCTATTTAGCAACCGGTTTCCTCTTAAGCTAAAGCTCATTCCCCTCAACCGCATGCTTCCATAGCTGGTCCTGTACCAAAAGGTTAAACAGATCTCATTATCCATTTCCTGCAGAGACCTAATTTCTACAAAAGGCCTTGAGCAGTGCAATATGATTGGCAAGAAAGAGAGTAAGACTACAAGAAACTATTTTCCCACTTAGGCAAATACCAAGAAGCATAGAGAACGTTTCAAATGATGCTCCACATGGGCCTCAGCAGCCAGGCAGAACATTCACCCTCTTCTGGTTTTCGGTTATTCTCGCCTCCACCTCTTTCAGCATGGCATCCTCAAACAACATTCCCCCAGTGCATCAACACATTAAGCAGCTCAGCATAAAAGACAGTACAAGTCAAATGCCATCTCCATTTCTCCTGAATTGTTATACATTGCTCAATGCTGCCTTTTAAATGGCAAGGCAGTCCCTGCTGTAGCCCTGACAGCAGAGAGCAGGCTGGAAGAAGAGGCCATCTCTCTCTCCCCCACCTCATCTCCTGGGTAAATCTCCTCAGCAGGCCTCCTGGAAGAAAGCCATAACTACTCCCTGGGTGTGCCATATCTTTCATAGGCATGGGGTATCTGGTTCACCACAGCCAAGCAGCCTGGGTCAACAAGATGCCCAAACACAGCCCCAGTCCCCTTTGAGACCCCAGTCCTCTTGGTGGTCCCAGAGCCCACACAACCCATTGGACTCCGTACAAAGCGAGAAGGCACCTTTGGTTTTCTTTTAAGATCCTGCTGCAGGAGAAAGCTTTTATGGAAACAATCCAGAGTCCCATCTTTTAACCTTTTATTTATCTAAGGGTTTATTGCATCACATACCAAAGGCATCAGCAATTCAGTTTCATTCTCACTTCTGCCTGATGGGCTCACACCTGCAGCAGGGTAGTGCCTCATTCACCAGGTATGAGCCTTTCTGGTGAGGGGACACTATCCCATCTAGAAAGGGCTTACTTTGCAGATTAGGGAACAAGAATCACTGTGTCAGTGTGGACAGGAACAAGCAGGAAGCTTTTGAGTTTCTAGAGTAAAGAGCTTGTGCATCCCTCTTCCAGAAGGGAGTTCAAGCCACTTACTCTAAGCTGGGAGCCACTGGCTAAGGTCCTTGCAAACGGTATGGTCTGGTCAAAAGAGGCACTCTGTCCTTCAGCTTTCTCTGTTGATTAGCTATCTCTAGTAGGTCTATGGTTACTATCCTAGGGATGCCTGTCTGTCTTTGAAACACTGATTCTCCTGATTGAAGAACAAGCTTTGGATCAAGCTCTGGCCAGATTCTTCTGGCTCTAGTAATTCTAGCTCAAGGTCTTGCTGCCTGTGCTGACCTGTGTAGGACATAAAGGACAGAGGGAGCCAGTCAAGCACTGGGACAATTTGAGGACTCTTCATCCCTAGATGTTCCAAGATCCTCACAGGACAGACCCCTAAGCAATCCTATCCAAATGCAGTGGTCATCCTGCTTTGAGCTTGTCTCCTGCTGTAGTCCATGAATCAATGATGTAGAAGACAGTGAAAGGGCAGCTGCAACGTAGGGCCTCCATAGAGGCACTGAAGCAGGAGACAATAAGAGGGAATAACAGAAGAAAAAAAATATCCCAAGTGTTGCCTACTTTCAAAATCAGATTTCAAATTTAAGTTGTCACACCAGCAATACAAGACGGATTGCAGATTCCACCTCCCCTTCCTAGAAGGTCTGATAAACTTTAAATTAAAAACAAGTTGAGAAGAGTACGGCAGCTGTGCCTGCATCAGCAATTCAGACAGCTTAGCAGCAGCAGATCTGGAGGGAGAGGCTAAGGATATAACACTCACTTTACACAGATTTCAGAGGGCCTTGTTTCAGGCTAGCATTGGGCTAGGTCTTTGGACCAAATATTCTTTGTGGAGCTGCTCCTCTAGACAGTTTCCTCCAAAAGGAATCCAGTCCACACCCTCAGAGGTCACTCCAAAGCACAGTTAAATGAGGACAAGTAAGACATAAGCAAAATAAGCAGGTTTCTAAGCAGAGAAAGAGTTGTCCTCTTCCTCGATTGTAAGAACATGTAGATAAGTACAGAAAAGCATCAGGTCTCATTGCATTTTTTGATAGTCCAGTGTCAAGAGAAGTGTGGTGGTATGTACAACAATATACAGTATTTATCAACTTGTATCCTGCTGCATTTGGCTCACTTGTTCAGTGTTAGCATTTTCGCTATTTTGTCAAAAACACAAAAAGAGAAATCAAAGAGACTTAAATGACACTCAAGTCACCATTTGGATCTCAAAGAGGAAACTCTCCACCAGGATCTTAAAACTTCCCCCCAAGTTTAAGGAACAGTTATTTGTTGTTTGAACTACACACTGATTTGACTGGAGAGACAGAGTGCAGGAAACATGCTTAAAAGTAGCTATGAACTAATACAAAACTAGAATAAAATTTGCTGCTTATTGAGCATTGCATTCTGTACCATCCACCCACAGAATCCATCAGCAATAGAACAAAATGTCCTTGGGGTAACCTTGTTAGCAAAAGCTCTTGGAGCTTGTTAACCCAAGAACAGACAAATTGAAAGTGTAGGTGGACATTAAATCCAACCCAAAATAAGCAAGCAGCTGTGAGTGTCAGCAGATCTATAATTAAGGTGGTATTTCAGTTCATTCTCTTCTAAGTCTCCAATTACTATTACTGTACCTAGAAGATGGAAGGCTTTAATACAGAAAGATGTCAGGTCTTCAAAAACATAATTTTCCCTCTCTTTTGCCAAGAGCACTAGTATAGTATAATGCATCAGACTTCTGAGTTTGTGGAAGAAGTCAGCAATTCCACACTCTTGCACCACCATCTTGAATTTTCTTTCCCAATTAGCAGATAAGCTGGTGCAGTAAGCTCAGCCCCTGTGAAAGGCAAAATACTGCTGCTAAATGAAAGGGGATTCTTAACTCAGCAGGTCCCAGGAGATGCTGGCTGTCACCAAGGGGTCTCTCAAGATGTTTGAGGTCCCGTCTCACAGTCTCATGCTGGCCCCCCTGCCAGCACGCCTCTGCAAAGGGCCACACGTCACCTTCAGTGGTACACACCTCAAGGGTCACCTCCCCTAGCTTTCCACACAGTCCAGGCTGTCCGACATCTTTGCATGACGAGCCAAGAGAACCCCCAACTAAGTGCTATAACCAATTGTTTAAGACCAGCTATTTAGATTTGATTTACACAAGTTAAGCTTGTCAAAGTCAGTGCACTTAAGGCCACGTCATATTTCCAATTTTTAAAAGAAGTCAGCAATTCACTAAGAAAATAACAAGAGACCTCTGTTTCTACTGACGTCTATATTTTAAAACTTTGAGTAAGATTTACTCAGGCTTCATAATATAAAATGTCTTTCAGGATCTTAAGTGAAGCTGCAGTAAGTTTGGTTTGTTTGTTTGTTTTTTTAAAAAAAGACTCTTTTTTGTTTCTAGAAGTTTCTAGATAAATGGCTCTCTTGAAACACTACCCTTCTGGGGCTCAGCAAGATCTTGATGAGCGTCTCCAGTGCTCTAGGTGGGAACACTGGCTGCAAGTGTACAGCATCAATCTTGATGCCGAAGCAGGAGTTAGTCATCCTCTGAGTCACTCTCCCCCCTGGCTGGGACACATGCCCTGATTGAGGACATGAGCTGGTCCTGGATCTGCTTCCTGGGGTTCTCCTCGAGGTCTGTCTTGATGGCACCCGACTCTGAAATCTTCCACTCCAACTCTGTGAAGGGCAAAACAAGACAGCCATGAATGCAAGGAAGCAAACTGGAAAGAGCCCACTCGCTCTTCCCCAACTGACTTCTTACCAACAACAACAAAACCAGGGCCCTGATCTATGCCTCCTCTTCCACCCCCAGGTCCCAGCCTCTGCCCTGTCTCCAGCAGCTGCTCCAGCCAAGCCCTCCCTTCACAGTCACTGGCTCAAAGCTCAGGGTACTGCTCTGCAGCCCACCAGTGGCATCTCTGCTTCCTCTACAACCAGGAGTGTAAAAGAGGCAATTGACTCAGAGCAGCAGCTTTAGATGAGGCAGCCCTCCTGGTGAAAGTGAATCCTACCTCCTTCTAACCACATAAGGGTAGAAAACAAGTTTGCACGTTTAGTGCTGGTGAAGGAACACTGGTCACGTGTTACAGCTGTTTGCATCGTCTATCAAGTCCATCACAGTCAGAAGAGGTGGGGAATAGATTTGCCGAGGGGCAAAAAGTCTGTAGCAATTCCATTTACACATCTAAATTACAGGTATTTTTCAGGGACGTACTTTATAAACACAATTCACTCCTTTCCCACTATGCCCTGCACTGATTATTAGTTCCTTAGCAAGACTTTAAGAGAGACTCCACCATCAGTAGCAGGCCTATTACTATATAGGCTCAAATTGGATTGCTTCCCAGAAGTGGTAGAAAGTCAATACAACACATTCAGTTGAATCCTTTCTCCTAGTCCTGCTGGCAACTCTATCCTTAAATCTAATTTCTTTCAGACATTGCAGAGTAACAAATACAGCCTCACACTTCCTTTAATTTCCAGTGGAAGTCACCTAGGCTTAGGGGAGAAGGAAGGAAGAAACAAAAGGAAGTGCACAATTTCAGCACCCAGCTTTCCGTAATGCCAGATTAAGCCAGCTCAGTTACCTTCAGACCCCTCCAAAATCAATTATTTATGTGCTAAAAATGGGAGAAAGCTAACTGTAGGTTCTGGTACACCACTCACTTCAGTGCATAATTAGGCAACCACTGTAGTTAGAGTTAGTTGTTCTCAAATTAGCAATCTCATCTGTGAGCTCTTCCCCTTCGGACAGTTCAAGGCAGGAGAGCGTTGTCTACAGCACACACTCAAGATATTCTGTAAACTTCAGGGTTTTAGTAAAAAAAGCTCTTTGCATCCTATCCCAGTATGGGCAGTGACATCATTCAGCAGGGACCTTGAAATGCTGCTTATCTGTGGTTCACTTCAGATAAAGATGCCTTTAAAGTCTGACCTTGAAAAAGCTTGAAGGCACCTGGACCAATATGCCTACTCAGAAAGTTGATAAGCATCCTTTTAACTAAAGTAAAAATCCACCAGGTTACATCCGAGTTGCATTTGCTTTCCAAAAGAGCCCTTTTCACTGCTGATCTCTGGTCTTCAAGCACTGCTGTAGGACCATCCCCGACCAACCACCTCCAAACAGCAACTTTTACCGAAGAGCCATGGCGCTCTGCAAGACCCACATCACCACCCCACCACCCTCACCTCCCAAAGCACATCACACTGATGAGGCTGCACAACCCCCAGCCTGCTAAGATGTGCAAGAAGAAACAGCCTACAGAAAACCACAGCCTCCAGGACAGGTAATAGCCTCTCCCCACAGAGCCCTGTGTCCCCTGAGCCACGGAGGCAGGAGCTTAACGTGCTGCCAGCTCCAGGAGACACTAAGAGAAAAAGGAAGCAGCCGAATTTCAGGCTAGCAGCCCAATTTGGACAAACAGACAGGCTCTCTTTAAAGGTTAACGAGGAGCAGAGCCTGTGTGTCAGGAAGGTAAAGCAGACAAATATATGCCACTGGCTTGAAAATGAAACAAGAGGCTCTACAATGTAAAAGGGAAGCATCAGTTATCAAGTGAATGAATTATCAGGTAATTGGGAGCAGGGTCAGTCAGTAACAAAAGCCCCCCAAAAATGTGTAGGTACTACATGCCCTTTTAATATATTAAGGAAAGTCTGTTTCACAAGATACAGGGTGCAAATACTTGCATGCACACAAAAAATAAATATCTGTATGTTGGCCAACTCAGCCATTCACTGCTTCTACAAGATAGCCTTAAGCACATGTTACTGAGCCATAAGGCTGCAAAAAAACCCTCTAATATAATTTTTAGTACCTCCCTTCTCCTTCTAATCCTCATTTCTCATTCCCAACAAAGCAATTTTGCTTTTTCTTTGGAAAAACAGGAGATACAGACACTCACCATCTCTTGTCAAGTTCATGCCACCAAACACCAAAGGTCCAATGAACTGAGCTTTGATGTCTCCCTCCAGGTAGACAAATATCGTAGGCAGGTTCTTATCAGGGTAGTTGGGAATGCAGGTGGTAGAGATAGCTTTGATGAATTTCACATCTCTGAACTTCCTTGCAAGCCCACTCATATGTTGATTTATTAAGGCACAGAGCGGAATTCTGTAAAGAACAGCAACAGAGACACATAAAAATAGAAGTAAAAGCCAAATTAGATAATAACGTGCTCCAGAAGAAAGGTCAGAAGTGGTCAGTGAGCAGCATCTACACAAAAACAAACATACCAGAAGCAACTTCTGAATACTTTTGTTGTCCAGTATTCCAGCATTCAAATGAAATCAGCATCACTACAGGTTTAGGAGGGTGTTTTTGCAGATGTTTTGGTTTGCGTTTTTTTTGGGGGGTGGCAGGGTGTGGTGGTCGTGGGGGGCATGTTTTAAGATACCAGCAATACAACCTTCCCTTCTATCACACAGAGAAATTGGTTTATGAAGAGACAATATTTAGAAACTGCATTTATTTAGATACAATATTTAGAAACTGCATGAGCAAGGGCGAAATAGAAAGAATAGCAGCTCCTGGAAGAAAGTATGCAAATGACAATGAACACCTGTGAGGCAATTAGAAACACTGACCGAAGTCAAGTACATCTAACCCTTTCCAGAAAATTCTGGCAACTTATCAGATCTTTTTGTCAAGTTTTTCCATCGTGCTGACAGGACCATAAACCTTGCTCACTCCATTTTTATGCATCTAGAAACCAGGTTACAGACACACAGTGAACCTTCCAATGCACAGCCTCTCACACTTTATCCAGAATACTTTCCAAAGCTCAGTATTTCAGTGACTGCAGCTACCTCTATGGTAGCTGTATGGTACAAGTCACACTGTGCTGTATAGATATATAAAAAAAACAAACCACTTCAGGGTAACATCATTTTAGAGCCAAGGTCAGCAGTCTTGAGGTAACAGTAATGAAATTGCTAACGCAATTTTTCATTTCTTAGAACTCCAGAATCAGTTCCTTAACTTCTACTAAAACTACCCATTTGTCCAGAGTATTTTCAGCTATTGACAGTGAAAGGTTTAAAGGTTAAAAAAAAATTTCTTACCCTTGTTTGTAGAGGTGCAGGACTACCCATATACCTTTTCCAGCTTTCGTAACCTCTTGAACATAATCTTTTCCAGAAATCTCCAAAACTTCCCCAAATTTATTCTTCATTTGAGCTGCTTTCATTTCTGCCAACCTTTGCTGCCTGAACAGCAAGGAACAGGAAAGAGATCTTGAGAATAGATGCATTTTGGACAGAACAACACTTAAATGAGCTGGTTGAAACCTAGACTTCAAAGGGACATTACAAACTTCTTCAAACCCCAGAGCAACAACAGCAAGTTGACATAGTCAATAGATGCTCTTACATTTGCATCACAAGTTAAAACCATCAACATGCAAGAAGTACAATTACGTTTCACTATTTTTTTTCCTCATTTCTGCCCCTCAGACATTTCTTCTGCAGATGCTACACTACCAAGCTAAATGGCAAAAATCATGAGAGATGGTACAGATAAAGAGATAATGGAAAACCAAAACACCGTAATTATGTAAATCTGCAGCATCTTAATCTCATTCATGCAAAAACTGAGAAATCTTGGAGGTGATTTTCAAAGCCCTCAGAATCCCCAGCCATGCACTCAGCAGGTGCGCATTATCTCTGCAAAAGTAGGTTGTAGATAAAGGACACTGAATTTAAACCCAGTTATCCTATTAAATACACTTAGAAGCTCTACGAGACCAGAAACACAACCCACTTTTCTATTATCGGGCCTAACATCATCCTTCCTTTCTCCAGCAATATCTAAGTGTATAAAAGAAAAAACCTCCAATTTTCATTAAAGCCAAATTCTGCCTGCTGCTCTGACCTGTACATTTCAATAGCTTTCTCATCTTCCTCATTAAATTCATCTTCATTCTCTTCTAGCTCTTCCAGAGTCATGTCCTCATAGGTTTTCACTAGAATGGAAGAAATAACAAATCAGAAAAAAAACTCATTCCAGGATTAAAACTCATCAGCCTTTATCAGTCCAAGAGAATTTATTTACTTTAAAGACAGATTAACTACGGGAAACATAGTTTTTCTGAAGTATTATTGCCACTGGATTTGCAGAAAATATTATGTACTTTAGACACAGATGGAAAGACAATGAGGTAAAGGATTTGGAGCTGAAGGCTGCCTGGACTAGCACATGAGTACCTGAGCTAACCTTCAAGACTGGTGGCTGCAGCAAAGACATACTTAAGACACACAACACAGCAGGGATGCCTGAACAACAGAGGAAGCGCACAACAGGTAACGTCATGAGATACTTTTACTTGCACATTCACATGGCAGAGTCCCTTCGCACTGTTCTTATTTCAGTTTTCGAACATTTACTTCTATAAAAAAATGGAGCTGACATCAAGAACAAAGCTTTCCTGCGCTGGAAGAATCCATGTGTTCGGGAATATATTTGTTTGGTACTGTTAACAGATGATCACCCTATATGAGAAGAAGCTTTGGTACCCCTTATAGGCTTGGAAAAGGACACATTGCTTTACAGGCATATAAGCATTACTGCTGGCGGTTTCTTTGTACAGGCTTCCCCCGCAGGAGCCATTTCAAGATGCGTGCTGCTGCTGCTGCCGCCTGAGTTGGCCTGGTCACTCACCAAGAGACTTCTGAAGGATGGCAAACTGCTCCTCTTCCTTTGCGCGCTCCTTTTCCTCCAGGTTTTCCTTTGGAGGAAGGATGCCTTTCTTGCGCAGGATGTCATTCCACTCTGTGTCTTTGTTTGGGTCCTAGAAAAGAAAAAGAAACTGATGAAGCGCATTCAATGAGAACGTTGCCACTTTCAGAAGTTAACACAGGCAAGCTTTTCTAGAGACACAGCACACTGCTAAATTGGTAACTGTCAAGATGGTGCCAGAAAGTGACAGCGTGCATTCTCCTGATGCTGAGGCTTTTTTGCGGTCCCAGACCAGTACCATGCAGAGTGGCTTTACTCCATTCCACTCACAGCGCATACAGAAGGTCTTGGTAGAGCACAAAAGTCTGAAGTGTCGTAAACATCACTGCAGCTCTCACAAGGTGAAAAGAAAGGAGAGGAAAGCAACTGGGTGACAGAGAAGCATGCTGGCCACAACGGTCACATACAGAGCCTCAGCAGAGCAACAGGCCACCAAATCAGTAGTCACTGCATTGGGAAGTAGTGGTGAGAAGACAGAGGCACCAGCTGTACGGACCTAAATCTGGGTATCATAGAACGACAGAATGGTTTGGGTTGGAAGGGACCTTAAAAATCATCTAGTTCCAAACTCTCTGCCACGGGCAGGGACACCTTGCACTAGAACAGGCTGTTCAAAGCCTCTTTCAGTCTGGCCTTGAACATTTCCAGGCATGGGGCATTCACAATATATGGGAGTCTCCTTGGTAGATTCAAGCCAGTGTGACTACACAGTGCTTAGAGAAAAGCAAGCACAATCTCTGCCAGACAAGCTCATTGCTAGGGAATCAGATCTAAATCTATGCCTAGGCTGTTCCTAAAAGTTAAAAAAAACCCATCAAACCAAAGCCACACGAAACCACCACACTTTGAAATAGTTGCAATAACCATGACAAACAAGGCCAACAGGCACCCATGTACTGTTCAGAAGCTCAGTAAAAGTTCTTCCAAGTTAAACAGTGATTCTATTTTTTTAAATGCCTGAAAAGTCAGCGGTAAGGACTCACAGGCCAGTTTTGGTTCCTTGCTGTCTTGACTTAAGTTCACTTTGAAAACTGAATACAACATCTACTGCTTTGCTGTGGCTTGTACCAATATATCTTACACTAGGTCTGTTCAAGACTGTATCCCATCTCTAGACCAAAACACAATACTTCTGGACTACCAAAAAAAACCCAAAACCCTAAATCAAAAAAAAAACCCAAACATAAAAACCAAGAAGTAGCAAATCGCTGGCCAGGTTTTCTTTTTTTCTTTTGGACTGTGGTCATTTTTCCCCTCAACACAGCATTTCACAGCATCTACTGTCGTTTATCAACACACTGAAGTGCTTCTAACACCCACCCGTCCACCTGCTTA